TGTGTGTGTGTGTGTGTGTGTTTACCATTGTAGGACTGTTTCTGGTATACACGCCTACCTTGTTAGGACCACTAGTCCTAATGGGGACCAACGAAGACTGGTCCTAATATGGTGGAACGCCATTTGTGGGTCAGGGGTTTGGTTTAGGACTAAGGTGTGGATTGAGTTTAGGTTAGTTTTAGGGTAAATGTTCAGGGTTTGGCTGTAGAAATTACTGGAAATGAATGGAAGTCAATGAACGGTTCTAATAAGAATAGAAATACAAACTTTGTTTGTTTGTGGATGGAAGGGAGATGTTGCTCAACAATATGAACCTTGACATGTTCAGTAAATGTCAGTGTTTTTATTTTAATATGACGACTCTGTTGCAGCTTTCCTCCCTCTACACTTACAGATTTTTTGAAGAGAAGCAGAATTTAATTTCTACATCACGAGAGATTTTTCTTTTCTTTTGGTGCCACCTTGTGGAGAAAAAAATGTGGCAGTTTAATAAAATTTCTTTTTTTTTTTCTTTTCAGATCTGTTACAGTTTGGGTTTCCCGGTGGTGTGATTTTTCTTCTGTAATCCTTGATCTGACTGCTGTTCAAACCAAATATTCAGCCAACACTCTTCTGATGTAAGTTTATCTAATTTACCTGTACCTGCAAATAAATAACTGTAAATCTGTTTTTATGATACCTTTATTTGTCTGCTTTTAGGTGTTAAGCAACTTTGCTGAACGTGAGTATGAATGTCAGTGATCACAATTAGAGTTTAATTCTACCACATCTAAGCCTCAAAGCATAAATATAATATAGAATATATTATAATATAAGACTTGTACTGTTTTAGTGTTTTCACTTTAGTGGGTTTTTTTCGTGTGCTTTGATCACACTTTATATTTGTTAGGCATTAATATGTCTCCTGCTGATGATGTCACTTCCTGCGTCTCTGTTAAAGGTTTGATGGAGAGCTGGTCGGATGACAGCTGGAACTGTTGTCATAACTGGAGGAATACTGGCCACAGTGATACTTCTGTGTATCATAGCCGTGCTCTGTTACTGTAGACTCCAGGTAGGACTTTTGCTGCATCGTTTCCACATGCTGAGATATAAACTTAGCAGAAAAAGTGAGTCTTGGTGTAACAATGCTTCTTAGCAATGAATCCAGAAGTGTGAAGTAATGAAATACTTATATTTGGATTTGAATTTTAAATTTCCTTACTTGTTGTGTGAAGTATATTTTCCTGATGYGGGTCATCACCCCACACATGTCTCTTTGACACTAACCTCTTTCTTTGCAGTACTACTGCTGTAAGAACAATGGCTCTGACAGCGGCTCCATCTCTCAGCAACACTTCGCCTGCAACACCTGCAGCCTCACTGGCCTGGACGGACCAATCGGCACCCCTCTGTCCCTGTCGCCCCCGGAGCTGCCCAAATCCTCCAACCCCACCAAACCGGCCGGGGGGCAACGCCGCTACTGCCCCAGCTGCTCACCGTACGACTCGCCCTTCTACATCCGCACCACRGATGAAATGCGCAACGGTGGCGAGAGGGTCACCTACATGCCCACGCACTACGACAACCAGGCGCTGTCGATGCCGCTGCCCGCTGTCCGAGGCTCCCTGCTGAGGGACGCCCAGCGAGGCCGGCCTCCGGATTTCTACACCAACACCCGAGCCATCAGCACAGAGGTGTAAACCCCCCCCCCCCCCAACCGCACCCCACCCCTCGACCGTGCTGTGTTTCCACACCCGGACACCCCTGTTTTTACAAAACCACAAATGTAAATGCTGGCTCTTTCTGCAGCAGCCAGTGAGTTTGTGAAGATAATATTTATTTAGACCTGATGTTCTGATGCGTTTAACTGAGGCTCATCTTAATCAAGTGCTGGAAAGCAAAGCTTAAAGAACCGATCCATTTCAGATTTGGCTAAATTMTACAATTAAAACTCAACATTTCATAACCACAAAGGTTAAGATCGTTTTCTCTTTGAGCCGTTTTGGTTAAACTTTTAAAATAACAGTCTCATGAAACTGTGAGATGTGTCAAAGTATGTGTTGTGAATGACTCTCAGCTACTCATTACCCGTAAAACTGACTGAGTTGTGGCTATTTTTGTGTTTGGTGTTGATGAGCTGCAGCAGCCATTTTGAATTGTTAGAACTGCACTTTTTGAAAATTTGATGAAAATTCTTTTGACGGTTCGTGAGATATTTTGCTAACAGACAGCTTGAACACACACACAGGCAAAAACATTATCACCCGCCTTTTTGTCTCGTCGTGGCAGGCGATATAAAAAATATTTAAAATACGTCCCTTTATGCTCCCACGTGAAGKAGAAGCTTGTTGACTGTTCATGTTTCTTTACCTACTGAGGGCTACCTTCATTCCTTTTTCCTGAGCTGCGTATTTCCAATGACTTCCAAAAATATAATGTGATAAAAATAAACATGTAGCAAAGTTGTGATGAGMAGAAAGAGACGGGACTGTTTAAGCTTTTCGTGAAGTGTGCGTCTTTGTGGAGACGTACAGAAGATGAGCGGGAGAGTTCACTATGCAAGCTCTCTACCAAGCGACCGCGGCTTTTCATCTCCAGCCATCTTCCTCCAAGAGTTTTAATTTCACCAGTTATAGATTTAGAAAAWGTTGTGAATTCACCTTGTGAAATGTACATGTGGACAAACCTTTATACTTGGATGGACCTTGGATTGAAATCTGTATTTGGAAACCTCCAAACATGACAGWGGTTGTGCTTCTGCTTCAGAGATGTTGTGCTAAAAATGTACCTTTTTTTCCCACAGGTGCAAAAATTAGTGTAAATATTAAGGGAAAAGCAATCTGCCAGTGCTGATATGTTTGCGACAGACTGAGACACACGCTGGGAACTGGACATTTTTTCAGTAATAKTGTTGAATTAACTGGTTGTCTACACCGTCTACACTCCTCTAATACCCTTGAAACTTTGCAATGTAAATATCCACCTGCTTTGTTTCTTTTTTTATATTGTGTGAATGTCGCTGTACACACTTCTGTGATGGTTTTACTCACTATACAAACGTTTCTGTGATATTGTTGCTTTTATATTTTCCTGTATGGAATGAATCAGGATTTGAAGCTGTGTAAATGGAGCAATAAAGTCATGAACASAGAGTTTTAAATCAGATTTACACAAATATGTCCATTATTTTTCTTAAAAGCTTTCATAGTTTACCCCCACACCAACAAAAAAACATTAAACTGAAGCTAAATACAGTGATTTTTTTGAAAACTTAGGAAGACAATTTCACATCACAACTGCTTTACTTTTCAGTTATTAAACAAAAAGAAAATAAAGAACAATAAAGAATTAAATAATGTTTATTACAAATAATAATCCCCATCACATGATTTAGATTCTTTATAGTACTTTAGTACTATGGTATTTCTTCATGTTGCGGTCTACTTAAACA